AACTAGGTGCGTTAGCCGACGAATCTATGTGCGGCAGAATACAGGTGGACATCATCAGCGCCAACAGGTGGACACTGACCAGTAACGTCGTGCATATGCCGAAAACGATCAACAACGTCGGGTCGATTGGCAGTGTGCTGCCAGACGACGATGTTAGGTCCAGCTCGACAAGGGCGACCTAAACGGTACGGCATGCCGCATCAGTCAGATATAAAACTGTCGTAGCATGATTAATAGTTTTATAACATGAAATGCAGAGTACACATGAGGAACACAAGAACAGTAGAAAATCGATCGTTTGATTTATCCCGGAATACTATATAAACAAGTGTAATAAAAGCTGCTTCTCTGTTACGTTACGTGATCACTATAGCAGGTGTGTTCATAGTTTTGTGTATAGATGTAATTGCTTCTTTTATTGTCTTTCTGACTTATCCGTTGCTTAACTTAGCCAGATTTTTGTTTGCTTTTGTCTAAACTGAAAAGCAGGATTTTAAAATTTGCATTTTACGCCAGTGCAAAAGTAGATTGCAGACAAATTTACCTTCAAGTAATAGCTCATTTAATCTGTCATTTTTCATTAATGAGCAAACAGACGAACAATAATTGTTTCACTTTAGATTAAAAATGTCTTACAGTAAATATGAGGTGGTTGGCGAACTAAAACTCAGCCACTGTCATTTATAAGTCAGTAGGAACATAAAATAGTGGTATTTCTTAGGTTGGAGAAAGAACAGATTCGAATTAAGAAAGCTCTGTTACCGTAAACAAAGATCTTTTCCAAGTTTTACACGGTTCAACATCCGTATTATCTTTCTAATGTAGATGCATACTGAATTGACCTCCTGTCGATTCACCAATGTCAATGAATCATACCTTTTGGCAACGGAACCTATCCAGTGACAGTCTCATAAGTCGATGTGACGAGTGTGGCGGCCTTTTTACTGTCGGAAACTATGGCGCGTAACTGATCGTGAGCAAAGACATTAACGACCCACTTCTAGAAACCGATTGGCTCGCTGTAGTGCACGACATGAAAGAAATCATCTCGGCCTTGAGTCTGGTCTGCTGGATGCAGATTCTCGAACAGTAACGCAATACCGTTAAAGCTGTTTATACCTCTGCCGTTCGCAAATTGAAACAAACTGCTTGTAATTTAGCCAGAGAATACTGTCACTGTAGCTACTCGGGAACGTCCCGGTTCTATTTTGTCCATAGATTTACCAAAGCATCTCAAACCATGGAACCGTGACCTGCCTAAATCGCTCTTCCTTCCAGATAATTAAAAGCAATACACACCTAGGCAGTAGAATTTTCAAATGTAATGACATGCCTGAACATATCGTTTCAAGAGATGTACGCAGTGGTTCCCTATTATCTGTGAAGTTCTCAAAGAAGACGCACTTT